CAGACTACTTTCAGCCTATCACAGCTATCCATTGCTACTATGACTTTGTATGGCTAAGAAAGAGTGTAATCTTTGCCTTAGCCATACCACCAGTGACCCTCACTCAGTGTGTTCCACTGTTTGAAAATGGTTTAACACTAAATGGTGGGACGGGACTGTGGGACTCCAGGCACTATATCAATTCAATGAGATGAAATGTTATCGTGCCTACAGTGTCCCTTTAATGTGATGGTACATGCAATTTGTGGCAGGACACCCCATCACTGAGCATTTTCTGGCATTCGTTTTTCCCTTTTATGCCCCCCAACCAGAGCACCTCTTGGCTTGTTAACCTTGTTGACTTCTCTTGACACCTCCTCAATTCGTCAACACCTCATTAACTGAAGTGTTCTGCTGGGTAGCCGCCATTTGCATGAGCGAACACGTGGGAAATGAGTTGGCGGCCATCTTGTTGCACGAAAACAGGCAGCGGTGTTCAGACGTCGAGTGCATGGAACTAAAATGGTCAAAAGTTTATCTGGATTGCGATCCCGTTCCACCAAAAGGATCCGAGCGCTATTTGGGCAACTTGGGCGCTCAGATCCAGGTTATCCCGGGATATAAGACTTATGGGGTTTCCTGGAGAAATTGATGTTATTTTGGGGTATTTTCTGTATGGGTCTCTGTAAATGAGAGATAATTGAGTTACCGGTCTTGGACTCAATTATCTCCCAGAAACAGGGACGCCGAGGAGGAGTTTATGTTGAACTGTATGGAGACCCCCTGCTGTGGGTCTGTGTATAAACTGAGTGTACCATGCCCTAATAAACCAGTTCATTACCATTAAGTCTTGGCTAATGTCTGTGGGGGAAAAGCTATAATCACTTAGCAGCTATAATCACTGAAGTCGGCGCAGTAGAGCTCCAAAGGTGGGGGAAATGGACATCCTTGGCGGTGAGACCCATGTCAATATCGGTGTGGCCGCCACACAATTGGTGTTGTGAGTGAGTATATGTAAAAAGCAAAACATGCTACAAAAGACCTAACTATAGGAACTGAATCATGTAACCTTGCTTTTCTGTGGAAGGTTTATATTTTAGATCAGTTTGCCTCCTTATCTACTCTAACTTTGTAACTAGTTCTTTCACACACTGTGCGTTTGCCTCCTTGATCTAAGAAGTCAAGATCTTTTGGATCTTCCTGTGACAAATTGGATTGAAAAAATTGGATTGAAAAAAATCTGACTACTACTATAAGGCTCTTTTTATTTATGCAGTGAATCTGGTTATAGTCCAGCAAAAGTAATACAATTAGATATATATAACCTAAACTTGTATCAGTAAACCTGGATTCACAAAATCAGAGCATAATATTGTCTACACAAAATAGAGTTTATATTTTTCATTTCGGTACAATGGATAGGCAACGGATACATTAGTGAACATTAATTTAATACTGTAAAAGTATCTAAATCATTCCGAGCTCTGCGCATATCAGATACACACAAAGCAAAATTTGGTTAGTAAAGTATTAAATAATGATACCTAAACTAATGAGAAAATGTGACATCACTTTGGTGCTTATAGAAATATTTCTAAAGAATAGATATTATAGGGTGTTTAAAGTAAATAATTAGAAAAATTGAATAGTATATATCTAAAATGTAATTTTAAAAATGCAACATACACCATTTATGGCACAAAATCTAATAGAATAAATCTGCTTTGAATGGAATTTTAGTGATGGCAACATAAAAAGGGTTCTGTATGTTATTATCAATAATCTAAAAAGCAAATGATGTAGGAAAGCAGAGGGATAAAAAAAAAGACATTTAAAGATATAATTGTAGTAGGAAAAGGGAGGCTACATAATGGATATGTTAATTTCTTATCAGAATTTTCTCACTTCACTAGAGAAAGTTGAAAACGACTACTAGAATGTGCATATAATATAAAGCATATCAAGACAGGCTGAAAGCTATAAATATTAATAACTTAGCCCAAAGAATGAACAGTGTTGACATACCAAATGCTTATAAATATCTCAAGAGATTTAACAAACAGCAAGATAAACAGCTAGAATACAAGGCTGTAGTTGGGTAATTTGGCTTGTATGTACAGTCGAAATCTTTGTTTCTGTAATGTGTGTGTATATAGTGTGTATACTCCTTGCTGTACTATGTATCTCACTGAACACAGAATAGCTAAATATGGCTTGAAGATGAATTATGAATAACTCATTGATTGAGGGAACTGTTCTCGGATGCAAGGGGGGTCTAAATTTTATATGTCCATTGTGGGTTAGAGGAAGGGATTATTCTTTGGGAGATGCATATGAATTGGAGTTTGAAGGGGCTACAGCAGCACTTTGCATGACACAAACAGGCGAGCTTATTGCACTACAACATTTACAAGGAGCATAGGTCATTATAGGCTTGCAGTGGTCTTGTAAAAAACAAAACAACAATCTTCTGCATTATTTTGCATCTGGCCTTGCTGTTTCTAGAGCCAGGTCTGATATAAATATCACTACTCACATTCTGGATATCAAAATAAACCATGTATGACCTAATCCAGAAATATTAAATGCTATATTGAATTCACTATAGTCTGGATAATAAAATTTTGGGAAACGTGCTGTAATTCCCTAACCAAGGTTTAATTCTTTGCATGCCATCATAGGTCTAATCATAAAACAGACCAGAAAATAAATAGAAAATCTCACTGATTTGCCTGCAGTTCTGGAGGACAAAAGTGGCAGCTTTGTTTAATTCATCATCTTGCGACTCAGCAAGCAGTTGAATCATGAGGGGAAGTCCATTGCTTTTTAGTAGCTCATATTGATTTGCTTCTGTTGAATGAAATTTCAACATTAATTAAAATATACCACATAACAGAGCTATAATTTTATGAATGCTTTAGCATTCATGTTTGTAATAATAATTTTACTACACTTACTGCAGTACTCTAAGCTTTTCAGTAAAGCAGAGGCATAAAGGAAAATGATATAGTATACAGTAGTTACTTCACACTGTGCCTCTATAATACAGATATTTGGCTACATTTTCTGAAGCCAGTATGCTTTTTTTCTTGTAGTAAATTAACTGAATACTTGAGCACTTTTCAGTTGCTGTGTGTATTGCTTTGACTAATAATGAAAATGATCTGCTATCACCTCTCCACTGTGCTTCAGGAAACATTTAACCACTAAAAGAGCAATAGTGCATAAGAAATGAAAACATACCACAATTCTCAGTGCAGTGGCCTAAAGTAAGCACAATACTGAATCTGTCCGCTGGATCAAGGGTTTCATGGGACAATAGTTTGATCAAACTTGAAGTAATTTTGTGTTTTGACAAACGATTGACACATATGGCTGAAAGAAAAACACAAACATTGATATGTTAAAAAAAGTATGTTACTGAAGTGGTGATGTATGATAAGGTCACTGCAGCCTTAGTCTTAATTCAGTGACTTTCTCACAAAACAGGGCTTTAAAATGGAGTTTGGCCAGAGTGCTAGCTTTTGCAGTTGCCTACTCTCACATGTATTGTGTGCTCCCATGAAGAGAGTGCTTGTAAATCCAAGACTGATAATGTCTCTGTGATGTTAGGTGCTGCGGGGCGACGCCATGCATGATCACAGAGGAGCTGGATCTGAAAGTTCATCTCACATTAGCAGTGACATACCAGATCATTGGTATGCGTTATTTGTGAGCTGTGAATAGTCAGTCTTGGTTCTCTAAACGACAGGGATTTTAATAAATTATTAAAAAAATAAATGCCTTCATCACAGTCAGGTGTCTATTTTTGGATTATGTTTTCTGAGCTCAAGGATGTTATTGCCTGAGAGTTTTCGACATGGTTATAATCCAAAAACTACAACCCATTTTCTTTTGGTAATGCCTTCGAAATTAGAAAACATTCTGACTTAAAAATGTGCTCAGCTCTTTGGTTCTTATTCATACACTCTCAAGATCAATATGCCAAAACTGTAGAATCAAAAACAAGCAAAATGCAAATATAGCAGGATTTTTTTTTATTACATCACAGGTTGAAAGTTATTAATAGCAATAGTGATAGCAGGTGACATCTTGCGTTCCAAAGTGACAGTGGTGTGTTTCTTTAAGCATAATCAAAACAGACATTTTGGTTACAGTGCAAATGTGCATTCGTTGTGTTATTGATTTTGCCACTTTAATATTGTTGTAAATATGGCTATATGTACTCTATTTGCTTTAATTGAACAACTAGGAATTATTTGTATATATTTTAGAAAAATTACTTCCACATGTCAACATAAGAGGTTTTTTTTTCCCAATTTCAGGGGATTAATTCAAAGAACACTCTGTGCACCAAACAAGTACAGAGAACAGTAGTGCTCATTTGTTTAAGTAGCTGAAATGTGTTATTTTTTTTTACCAAGTCCCTTAGCCTGTTGATTTTGATAAAAGGAAATGGTCCTATAAATGTGTGAAATAACTCTTCTTTGCTGTGATTGTAATCTCTTTAACATGACTGCTCAGGGACGCAGCCAAGCAACCGACCTGAATGGCCGCACGCCAAGCGAGCTCCGCAGCGAACGGGCACTTTGGGCCTGCTAACAAGAACCCATCCCCAACGAAACTGGCACTAAACTGACCCGCGGACTGCCACTAACGATATGGGCCGCAAAACTAAAAAGCCAAAGCCTGACAACCCGTGGCAACACCACAGTATAGGCGACATGTGGAAGCAAGCGCTTAGTGCCCAAGGCCCAAACATGGCCGCCTACAACGACTACAGCTCAGATGTCTGCAACGACTTCACCACAGAGGCGGATATGGAGCATCCACATATGGGGATACCACCCCGCCAGTCACCCCCGAGACCAGACTCCTCACTGGTGACCGTCACGGTCATGAAAGACCTCCTAGCGGAGCTCCAACTAACAATACAGGCTGACATGGCCCAACTGCGCAAGGACCTGCAGGGCCTAACGGGCCGCCTGGGCTCACTGGACGCAAACTCCCAGTGCACCAAGCAACAAACGCAACTCCTGCAGCAAACGGTCCAAGAACTCAAACTACAGCACCTTACCTACGAGCAGCGCATAGCAAATCTAGAGGATCGAAGTCGCAGCCGGAAAATTAAAATCTGAGGCATTGAAGAGGAGATTCCAGAGACTGAGCTCCCTCACACACTGCGGAGACTACTACAGACACTCCTACCTCCCAAGCAAGCCAGACAGGTGCCCATAGAAAACATGTTTCGCTTGCCACGAGCAGCTAAGGCCCCAACAACGGCCCCACAGGACCTTCTGGTTCTAGTTTTCAAAACTAGGGGGACAAGAGGGCGGTAAGGCAGGCCACACTAAACCACTCACCGTATACGTTCGAAAACATGCAGCTTTCCTTCTACGCGGATCTGTCAGGGTCCACTCTAGCATGGCGACGCACACTCCAACCCTTTACAGCCCTCCTACGCCAGCACAAAATCATCTACCATTGGAGAGGTTTGCGCACACTGCTAATCAACCAAGGGAATGCGGCCTCTACCATCTGGGACTTACAAGAGGCAAACGAACTGCTACCGACACTGGGACTCCCCTCGATCTCTCATCTCCCCTCGGAGACCAGCACTACGCCGGCCCACGGCTCCACCTGGACGCCGCAACAGTGGTCCCATTTGTCCCTAGACGAGCCGAGACAGCAACCAACGCAGCAGCCAAAACCTGAGGCAGTCCCGAAGTCACCCGGTTTACTGACCACCATACCTCAGCAACACCACTTACTGCACCCACTGGACTTGTAAACCAGTTAAAACGTATTATTGTTGAAGTTTTATTGCGGCTTCTTGTTATGGAGCACCCACATTAGCACTTGCAGCCAAGGGCACCCTATAGCCACTCACATTTAGCTCCTCTGAGTCCTCCCCCTCCCCCTCCCAGGGTAATAGGGGGCACTTAGACAGCAGCAGACAGGGGCACTAAACCATCCGCTGCAGCTCGGTACCAGGTAGACAGACCACATGGGCCACCAGCTTACCACACCGTCACACAGCGAGGTCCACATCACTGTAATATGAGAACCAGCTCAGCAGCAAAGGCGCTACAACCTCACACCAGGTACTGCTCCACGGAGCAAAGACCACCTACCACACAACACAGCACAGCTTCCACCAGCATAGCACGACCCCAGCGCAAGCCCATACATGGCGAAACATCACGCTCCAGGACCAAACTCTAGGCTACCTATGCTCATGCCAACATGACTGCTCAATATAAGGCGTAAAGCTCTTTTTCACTAAACCGACAATGGCAAAAGTGTTTTTGAAAAATCATCAAGATCATAGTTGTGATTGTGTCAACATCATTAATTGCTTGACATGTGTTGACATACTTTATTAAATAATTATGATGGAGGCCTAAGAGAGAAACCCACATAAATGCTACATTTTCCCAGTAGACGGTGAAGAAAGCATCCTAATAGCATAGGCAGGCAGTTTATTTTAATATTCTATTTATCTTCAAAAAAATGTTAAGATTTGGTGCATACCATTATCAGTGATACAAGCATCTAGTGTCTTTGTCACTACAACAGCAAATTTCTGGTTTGATTGGTTCCCCTGTAGATCAGCAACAAGCTGGATAAGAACTTCAGCAATTGCGTCTAGGCCTCCAACTGAGGAGAAGTATCCTTGTGCAAAACCTTGAAAAAAACATTGCAGAGATTTTCTACAGAGATTTATTGATCCACCCATTAAAGGACAGTATTGCCTTTTATAAAATATATTATAGAAAATGTTTAAAAAATCTCAAATACTCCCACTTTTTTTTTTTTTAGTTGAAGCACTTAAATAGTTCCTTAAAGGGACACTATAGTCACCAAAACCACTTTAGATTAATGTAGCAGTTTTGGTGTATATATTATGCCCCTGCAGTCTCACTGCTCAATTATTTGCCATTTATAAGTTAAATCACTTTGTTTATGAACTCCTGATAAAATCTTTCTTTAGTCACACCTCCCTGAGTTGTCCTGAGTTTGATAAACTCAGGAAAACCTCCAAGTTACCCTAGCTGTCAGTGAATCACTTCAAGCTGAACTATCATTGGAGGTTACCAATTGTTTGCACTAAAATCCTCAGTAACTACATTAAAGTGACACTATAGTTGCCAAAACAACTTTAGCTTAATGAAGCAGTTTTGGTGTATAGATCATGCAAAAGTGATCTATATGTGGCAAAAGTGACCTCGCCACTGTTTTTTGGTGTATAAATCCCTTTGTTTATGAACCCTAGTCACACCTCCCTGCATGTGACTTGCACAGCCTTCCTAAACACTTCCTGTAAAGAGTCCTCTTTCTTTATTGCAAATTCGGTTTAATTTAGAATTTCGTATCGACTGCTCTGTTAATAGCTTGCTAGACCCTGCAGGAGCCTCCTGCATGTAATTAAAGTTAAATTTCCAGAACAAGAGACAATTTTTTTTTGTATTCTTTATTTTGGATGTGCATTGTGGCAAAAGTGACCTCGCCACTGTTTTTTGGAGAGGCCTGCTTGCCTGCCTCTTACACTGGGACTAATGTTCAAAAGTACTGTTTCTGCCCCTTGGACTTTTAACTGGAACAGATTCAAAACATGTGGCGACGGCCATCTTAAATTGTCCAGCAGTGTTTTGTCGTCGAGTGTATGAAACTGTTTTGGGCATGGGACCATGTGCACGGTGGGGCAAAAATAAGACTTCCAGGAAATTCCTGAAGCCCTGAACTGATTTGGGTGATTTTTGGATATGTTGTTTACCCAGATCTGTGGATGTGACTTTTGTGGGGATATGTTGTATTTTGGGGTACTCTTTGGGGTTTGGAAAAATGTATGCTTTTTCTGCTTAGAATTAATTGAGTTAGTCCATTGTCTTCGTTAATTATATCACAGGCAGAGGGGAGGGATTGTGTACACTGTATGGGAGTGACAATGTCAAACTATGTTTTTATTGGTTTATGTTCCTTTTGTCCCTCTTTTCCATCAGGTCCAGGGGGTGTGCCTCTGGCCTGAAAAACTGTATATATTCAAGGCAATAAACCTTCTATTCTACTTCACCCTTAATCTAGAGTCCTGTCTCTTATTGGGGGAATCTGCTACAAAGGATTGCTATGCTCTTCATACTCCCTTGAATAATCACTAAGCTCTTGTAAGAGCTTGCTCCTGTTCCTGCTTCAGTCTCTGGGGAAAGAGGTTCACTCACTGGAACCTGGAGCCTTGTCGTAGGTCTAGGGTGGGTAGGAGACGGCGAGACCCCAACCAAGCTGCGGCGGTTCGTGTGGTCTGCAGTGCTTATGGTGCTTGGAGCCCTCAGGAAGCACTAGGAGCATCCATCAATGGAGGTACCCAGTCGGGGTGCCAGGTGATCCATTACAAGCATAAAGAATACATACATGCTGGTAATGCCACGACAGCAGATACCGGCAGTTCATAGTTAACAGTAGTATGGCATGGGGGGGCTGAGCCAGCTCTTGGCATGATCAGTCACATACTTACTGCTCTCCAATGAATGAAGCCCCAAATCAGCCCCACAAGGCAACTTACCACACTGCAGACAGCCTGGAAACATCCCTACACCGATGGAGAGGAAAACTAAAACTAAACTAAAAAGCTGCGTCCGGATCTGCCTCTGTACTCTGCGGCAATAGGCGCCCTATTGCGACGGGGCCTAACATGGCGGCCTACATCGAGGAATACTCTGACAGCTCGAACAACATTCCCCTTCACAATCCTGAGAATCTGTGTTATAAAGGGCCTCCTAAGCCCACGCAGCCGACAGCGGGCCTCCCGGTCACCACGGAGATACTTACCACTCTCCCCTCAGACCTTACACCAGACACTATCTGCGGAGTTCTCTCTGGTAAGGGAGGATGTTAAGGGTTTTTCCGCTCGTCTCACGGCTGTGGAGCAGATCACTCAAACGCAAAGAGCACAGGTGAAAGAGCTCCATATGCAGGTCAAGGACCTTAAAAATAAATAATTCAACTCTTAAGTAAAATAATTACAGTCCAACGGCAGCTAAACTACCATATGGGGAGTCTCTCTCTTCCGATTAAAAGCTGGATAAAAAACACAAGGTAGGTACAGCACCTAAATAGTCCTCATAGGGGTATAAAAGGAAAAATGGAAATATAATAGTGTAGTATTTAAAACTTCAGTTGGAGTAAGTAAAAATAATTTTTTTTTGCAATATCTTTGGTGGGGATAATACCACCTAAGCGCACTGGATTGAGCAAACCCCATTTTGCTCTGGAACATGTGAGTAGGTATTTTATAATTTTTAATTGTGTTTTGCACTACATATTACTGTCAGGGTGGCGGTCCGGTGCCCGGGACCCAGACACTGTCCGGGCGGCGGTGCGAGGACCGGGACCCAGTATGCCTGATGTTCAGAGTAGGAGTCACAGTGTGGAGATGGATTAGCAGGGTCTGGTGCAGGGTAACCGCACGCCCCCTGGTGTTGAGCACCAGCGTTTGTGCAGCCACATACCAGAACCCTGATTCAGCTTATGCGGATCCCAGGAACTAGGAGCAGGAAATAAGCAGACCTCCCAGAAGCTGAGAAGGGAGGCTCTGCAGCAGGAATGTATTCAGTACAGAAACAAGGCAAGACTAGGAAAGGCCAAAACAAGACATAACTAATAGGACCCAGAACCGGAGAAGGATAGAAAGCAGAACCCAGAACATGTACACAAGACATGAGGAAAACAAGAACAGGGCAGGACAGGACTGTACATGAACTGGGAATACAAGACAAAATAAAAAAAAAGACAAGAGATACAAGGTAAAACAAGAGGAGAAAAACTAAGTACTATATATGAAAATCATGGGGATTTAGTTACATTATATGATCATACATTGCATAAGCCTGCCAACAACGCCAATGTACCCCATATCTGGCAGATCCTACTCTGCCTAATGCAAACTAAACCAACCAAAGAAAACACACATAGTACTTACTTGCAAGAAAGGGCAGAAGACTTGAGCAGCTGCCTGTGGGAACACTGAAACAACAGGAATGATGGAAAACAAACAGGTGTGGCAACATAAAACAAACATTTAAATGAATCCAAGAGACTGGGAAATCCAGGGACGGAATACAGGAATGAAACCAGAAAAACCCAGCATAAAGAAAAACAGACATAGAATAGAAAACCAGAAAAAAACAAGAAAAACTAAACAAGAATTGTAAAAAGAGTACTGGATACCAGAAGCCATTGCCAGAATGATCCACAGCTAGGAACAGGATGTGACAATTACGTTGTACACTATTGTGTTTTTTTTTGTTTCCTCATGCATATATTTATATATACATTTATATATCTATGAAGAACAACTATTTGCATTATATCCTTGAGTGGGGATCATACCACTTCATACGATATCCTTGGAGCCATATCTACGGTTCCATAACATGTGAGTGCACATTTTTATCTATACCTACTCTTGCTCCGTAGCCCAACATACTACACCATATACGTTTCTTTTATCTTTTTATTTCTATGAGGACACCTCCCACAACTACAACAATACGAAGAATCAACCCTGCACTTTATCCTTAGGCAAGGATCATTTCACCCAGGCGCATTAGTTGGAGCTGTACCTTAGCTCCAGAAAAGTGTGAGTGGCCATTTTTTATTTTTACTTACTCCAACTGAAGTTTTAAATACTACACTATTATAGCCCCCTTTTATACTTCTATGAGGACTATTTAGGCGCTGCACTTACCTCGTGTTTTTAATCCAGGTCAAGGACCTTACCTCAGTTCACACTACACTCACCCACCAACTAGCAGCTATGGAGGACAAGCGGAGGTGGAAGCATGTTAAAATTCGAGGCCTCTCCCAGCTGAGCTGCCCCATTTTCTTTGAAGGCTCTTTGCGGCCATTCTACCCCCTAAGCAGGCTAAAGGGATGCAGCTGGACAGCATGTTCCTCCTCCCCAAGCCACCACAACTCACAGGTTTTGCAACAGGTGACCTCCTGGTCAAATTTCAAAATGGACAAGATAAAACTGCTTTCATGAGTGCCATCAAGGGGAAGAACCCCTACCGCTTTGAAGACATGGGCCTAACATTCTTCTCTGACCTAACACGCATAATCCTACAATGGCGAAAGTCCCTTTGACCACTAACAGCGACATTAGCAGCCAAAGATGTGATGTATCGTTGGGGACTTTTGTTTTTCATATTTTTCCTTTTTTTTTGCATACTTATTTATGTTGGATTTTACCCACAGTTTAACTTACACTGACCTATGATGTGCAATTCTAAGTCTCCTGCATGCTCACAGCAGGACCGTTACCCTGAGGTCACCCTCCGCCGAAACCGGGCATAACCGGGCTCCACTTCACCACCTACCACCCTGCTATCAGACCATTTCACAATTTGATCCCCACTTCCAGAGATCCTCCTTCGCCATTGGGCAGGATCAGTGGCCAAGAGTCCCGTGAGCAGGGGAACCCCCAGGGTGTGTGGACGGTGGGTAGGTTTCGACTCCATCGGGACCCCCAGCTCAGAAGGAGATTGAGGAGCCTCTGCAGCTGCCTGGTCCTCCAGAGCAGCAGTGGAGGTAGGGTTGCGTGGATGGCTTCGCAAGCAGAGCCAAAAAGCTTGACAGATCCTCTCGAACTTTGCTTCAAAGGCTTCCCGTCATGACGGGCTCTCCAGACTTGCACAGCTTTGTTGAGGCTTCAGTGTGGCATCCATCTTAGGTGACCATGCGGTCTCCGATACTTTAGCTTGTCACTTTGACACTGCAGAGATGTAAGAGCACCCAGTAGGGACCGTGATATCCCCCACCTGTCCAAGACGGGAGTGGGGGGAGGAGGGGGCAGGGCTGCACAGACCTCATTTGTAGAATTAAGCTCTAAGCTTAATGATCGTCCGCCCCTCCCAACTACTGGACTGTTGGCTTCAGTCGGCCGCAAGGTAAGACACGGTATGCATCCGTCATGGCACTCAGATGCATGCTTATCAGGCAGTGGGGTATAGCAAGGATGGTCCTCCATTAGTATAGAGACGTGTCAGCAGGATTTACAGAGATATTTCCACCATTTTAGTTCAAGTTGGCAGGAGCCAGAGAGATACACGTCTGGCCACTAAACCATTTTGTTTTCATGCAGACTGTGTCAATCATAGCCAGGGTAGGTGTGGCTAGGGCTGCATAAACAGAAATAAAAGTGATCTAACTCCTAAATGGCAGTGAAATCATGACAGGAATGATCTATACACCATCTTTAAACCAGTGGTTTCATGGGACAATAGTTTGATCAAACTTGATGTAATTCTATGTTTTGGCTAACGATTGACTGATATCTCTGAAAGAAAAAGACAAACACTGGTATGTTACAAAAAATAATGTGACTTTCTCACAAAGTAGGGCTTTAAATTGGAGTTTGCAGCTCCACCTTTTGATCACAGTGCTAGGTTTTGCAATTCCCCGATCTCTGATGCCTTTTGTGATCCCAGGCAGTGCTTGCAAATCCATGCCCCGGTCTCTGTGATGATAGGTTCCTCTCACATTAGCAGTCACATCCAAGAACATTGTTATATGTGAGCTGGGAAGAGTAAATTTTGGTTCTCTAAATGACATGGATTGTAATAAATTATTACAACAGAAAACAACACCAGAGCCATGCATAACTCCAGGTTTCTGGATGCGCTGTGATATGGTGCATGGATGCTGGAGGTACAGTTATAAGATGCATGGGTGCCATGACACAGATTTGGTAGACTGCATCTTATGTAGCACTACTTGGGGCCATCTGGAGATGTCAGCAACCTGAATGTGCTTAATTTACAACAGGATTCAGTCTCTCTATTTGTGAACTGCAGCTTTGTTGCATGTCTAAATGGACAAGGAAGGGTGTCTCTTGTCCCATATTTTCCAGAAGTAGTTCTCAGTTGTTGTCCCCCTCTCCCAAGCAGGGCTACACTGGCTGATACCAAGAGTTTTCAGCACAGGAGGTCATCAAATAATTCAGATATGGCACTGGAGGAGATTAATATGGCAGTGGTGACAATGTGGGATCCCAACTTCTGTCAAACATCCTGTCAGCCATCAGTGGAGAATATGTAAGTAACAGTTGCCCTCTGATGGAGGATAATATGTTTAATGTGATGGAAACTAAATCTCTCCCTGCCGCCATATTTCTAATATCCCCTCAGCACTTCAACGATCCTACACAAACAGCAAAGGGTGGGGGATTTCACTTGTATCACATTACGCAACAACAAAAAAATACGTTTATAGGTTTATTAAACCAGATTCGTGCTGCTATCACAAAAATTATCTCCCTTTTTTCATCCTTTCTTTCACTTTCTCTCTCCCACACTTTCATACTCTTGTTTCCATTTTCTGTTTAACTGTCCTTTTTTCTCCACCATTTCAGTGCTTGTGTCATTGTCAGACTCATCCTCTCTCTTCCCTTTGGCCGCTTTCTCACATTCTCTTCACTCTCCCTTTATGTCTTTTTTCATAAGGTTACATAGGTAAGGGTTGGAGTCCAGCATTCTGTGGGTTTACATACTTAGAGTGGAGGAGTCCCACACACCATAATTTCAAAAATCCATCAGTGCCACTGCTTCTACTAATATTTTGTTAGTGACTATTTTAAAAAGAAAAGTGTAAGAGAAAACACAACACATTCATATACACGTGTATGGCATACTGTTATTCGCAACTGTAAGTCCAACCAGAGAACAGATAGGACGGGCGACCTCAGGCTGAGCATATTTTTGAAGCCAATCTTTTGCTTGAGGAAATGCTGAACTGCACAGTTTCTGGTTTTCATCTGTAAAAGAAACAATTTAAAATGAGATTACTTAGAAATGCAAAACAGCGAAAATCACTTGTTGCTGTCATTGACCTTCACAGGTAAAGACTCATTTATTAACCTGTCAAAAATATTTTTAAATAAATAAAATAAAAGCTTATCTAGAAGCCTGTAGGTACCGTTCTGAGGGTTATTGACACATGCACAAAGAGCACTGCAGACTGATGTCCACAGCTGGTAAAGCTCGTCTGGGGCTTTAGATGACAGATGCCTGTTGCACTTTATCAGGATTTCTCTGCATAATGAAAAAATAAAACTACAGTATAAAGGCTGGTTATATCTAAGAGAATAATTGTGCATTCCATATGAAAGATTTACCTAAATAATAGTAGAAGCATATCAATACATCCAGATTCCCGTGCAAGATTCTGACCACATTCTGAAACATAGAATTATTTAAAAAAATATAAGAAAATGCGCTGCAAATTATTCTCATTTGAAGGTTGTGTGGCATGAATGAACTTACTGTTATTTGAAACTAAGACCAAAAGCACATAGACTGACATTCTTTTTAAATTCAAAGAGGAGTCTTCTTTAGACAAGGTTGCACAGACATCTTCAAACAGTTCTAAGGTGCACAAGGTTTGCTGACAATATACTGTAATAAAGAGAAGACAGAGGTCCACGCAGTTTTCTGACAATATACTGTAATAAAGACGAGAAAGAGGTCCACGCAGTTTGCTGACAATGTACTTTAATTAAGACAAGAAAGAGATACACGCAGTTTGCTGACAATGTACTGTAATAAAAAAAAAAGAAAGATACACGCAGTTTGTGGACACTGTACTGTAAGAAAGACAGAAAAGAAGCATGACTGCAAACTGATATTGAGCAGTTGTTTTTCATACATATAAAAGTTTACCATTGTTCTCTGCAAGCACGCCTAGTGTAAACAAGGATGCCTCTTTCACTATTGAGTGTGTGCAGGATTTTGCAAGGTTACTCACAAACATTAATCCACCTACTTCTCGGAAATATTCACATGCATCACCTAGAAGGAAGAGTTTAAAACAAAAAAAAACATAACATCAGGCTTTGGTGAGAAAACGTGAAATTAAATATATCCAACATGGCTGATGCATAGGATATAGGTTATTTTCTGTAAATCATTGTCTTACTGTTATCCTGACAGATTGAGTAGATGGTGACCAAAGCTCCCTTCTGAGAATCGGGATTTCCCATTTGAAATTTCAGACATTCCAACAATAAATGGAGATCTGTTTTCATTTCTGGCATAAAGCAAACATTAACAATTTTTAGCTGTGCAGATATGAGTAGTGTACAAAATATACATTACTCACTCATACAGAATTAAAGCTGCAATGATATCTACAACCATTATCTGCATGCATTACTGATTAATCACTATGACTCTTGGTCATGTACTTCACTATTCTATACTCACTGTTATCATGAGTATCTTACAACATAAATTGGTACTCTGGCAGAAAGAGATTAAATAGGACTTTGAAGACTCCAGATTTTTTTATTTATTTTTTTACATCTGGATTGTTTTGTATACACCTGAAGAGTAAATTAAGGCATTCACTTTTTGACTCTGATTTAATATTTTTGGATAAGCTTTCCAAATGATTTAATATTTTTGGAAAAACCTTTTAAATGTTTTAAAATTTTGAAAAGAAGTATTTTGTAATATGTTGGTGTATTGTTTTATAAATGATATATTATTTCACATATATGGTTTTATATATGATATATTGTTTGATATTTTAATATGTTGGAAAAAATTATTTTAAAGTCTATCCAAAAATTTAACAAAATATATCAAGGTCTTTATCTGTCTGTACATAATATAATACAATTTTTTTCCCAATACTAAAATATACATTTATACATGACAATTCAATTTCTACATTCCCATTAATTGAGAGATATCTTATTAGGATTCAGGGGATTGGAATAGAACATTAATTAGTTCCTCAGCTACAGTTCAATGTTTAAATCTTTAGGAGATGCAATATAAGATTGTAAATAGATGGTACTGGGTTCTGACAAAATCTGCAAATATCCCCCCCTCTGAAACTGATACATGCTGGAGATGAAATAGAGAAAAAGGTTCTTATTTACATATGGTGGGAGTGTCCAATGGTTAACGATATTTGGAACAAATCTCTTTACTAGTTTACAGAAATATCTAAAGTCAAAATAATCTGGTCCCCATTAGACGTTCTTTTACACAAGAATTGACCAACTATGTCTTTAAAAGACAAAATTGGGGTGAGGCGTGGCTAGCCAAGGGGGGGCGTGGCTAGCCGAGCAAGGAACAAGACGCTGGTGTGGAGCTCCTGCGGGCCACACAGATATATAGATTAAATAGCCACGGAGCAAAACCTGACTGACCACAAAACAAATACCTGCGTAACCCAGAACCCACCCCGAGAGAAATGGGACGCAGAAATCGCAAGTTGGTCCACTTGGGGAGCTCTAAACAGCCAGACATCCGTATGTCCTTTGAAAGGTCGCAGCAACATGTGCAGCCCAAGATGGCGCCTGTGGGGCCTCGATACTCAAGTTGCTAGGAAGAATCTTTAGAGGAAGACAGCATTACACCAGTGAGAGCCTTGAGCAGGGTGTATGGGAGTGAACCTAGCCGGTGTGCGCACCGAAGTCGATGGTCTCACCGCACGGATCAGCACAGCTGAAACAAGAGAAGGGAAAAGAGAGGTGGAGATTAAAGAGACACAGGCCCAAAATGGAGACAATGTCCAAGAAAACACAGGCTCATCTGCGCAGTCACATCGCTGGAAGCAAGGCACCGCAAGAAAAAAGTACGGATCCGCGGGGCACCTGAAAGAGTGGGCACAGGGACTATTCTAGAGTTTACCAATGCAGTGGCAGCTCAGAGTAAGGCGTTCCGAATAAGGAAGGCCCCAGCTGCCCCTGCGGATGCATCCAGGGACATCATAGCTGTTACCAAGGACATCTTCATTAAGTCTGCAATATTGGCCCGCTCAGGGAGCACACCTACCATCATGATGGACGGATGCTCCGTCCGGGTATATGATGACTTACCATTTAATGTCCTATTAGAGAGGCGGAGGTTCATGCCAGTGACGAGGGAGCGCCGCGAAAATGGTATCCGATACAGATGGGGAGCATTGGGCACTCTTGTGGTGTAGCAAGGAGACTGTCTTAACCTTATCATCGCAGGAGGATCCAGCGGGATTCCTGAAGGCACTACACTTGCTGCGGCAGACCTCCCCATCACAGACTGCAAACACGACCTCTGCAACTGAGGGGGCCAGTCTGGCGTGGAGACCGACCACCGAAGCGGGAACGGCGCATAAAAAAAACCCAAAAAAACAAGGCTGCTGAACCCACCCTAGCTGGCACCGCTAATACCCCATGAGACTTATCAAGACCCGTACCAAACTCTTGACCTCTGTAAGCTCTAAATTGTTTAACATGTGTTTACTGTGGTAACCTTCGGTGTCTTTGGTACATCGGAAGACACTTTTCCTTAAGCTAACAAGAGTCACACTGCAAGTCTTTTTTTTTTTTTACTGTCTGCTACTAGGCTACCCTAGGGGAATGTAGCGCTGTAGAGCGAGATGGATGTTTTCCCAGGGGAATGCATTGTATACTGAGCGCAACACAGGATAAGGCTAGCGGGTCCCACAATGTATAGTATGTCCTTCCTTGTCAGTTCCTATTGCAAAAACATGGCGACCTAGTTTAGTAGCTTACATCGCTGAAAAGGGAAGTAGCGATTTTTACGACTGTCTGCTCTGACTCCATTTCCTTCTTCCCACCACAGGGAGCGCATGGGGTAACCCACATGTATCTATGCCCTAACTTAAATGACAGTGCCTCGACCACGTCGAGGTGGGGATCGAAAATCCACCAGACTACTCTGGCCTTACAACGCCATACCTTATATAGAGCTAGGAGTCCTGCTGACTTCACTCAGCACAATTAAATACATAATAAAAACATTGAGTAGCGCTAAACATCTCTCACATAATTATAGTCTCACTTGCACTGACAACCTACTCCACAACTACCCTACAGGCCTTGAGGTCAATCTATACAATAAGCATCTATCCCTGCTCTCGGCATGTCACCCCCTGATACGACCTAACTTCAACTAAGCAATTTAGCCTGTTAAGTATCAAAATACGCTGCCTTAGCTCATACAGACTGAACATGTTTATTGTTGTTGATACTAAAAATTGTATATCATCAATCCCAACCGCACCCATTAAGAGTCTATATTAATAAAGTGGCACTAGCGCTTATTATAAAGTTATACCCTGTTTAATTATCAAAACACGGGCAGAGTAATCTTATGACTTTTTCTGCTATATCTTTGATGTTAGCTCTTGCATAATTCCTTGCTGAAATGTCTGTACACGCATGATTGTCTCACCTAGTATACCTTACTTTCACGGAAAATGTGCTATTGAACCACATGCCATGCCACTACCTTACAGAGCCTATGTCGGTATGCCTGACAGACAGTGCTTGCATGGCAATGTCAGCCTGTATGGCGCTTTGTAAACAACAAAGATGAAATCAGATTTTTGGGCATCTGAGCTGAACAGCATGATACCCAAAGTCTCTAAAATAGTCTTTATATGGGTCTTCTCAGACCATCTCTCCTGTTTATCTTATGTTATTAAGCACCTGTAGAGTTTTAATGGCAAAGTTTACGCTCTTTTTATTCATTAACATACATACCACAAAAGCCGATTTACTCAACCTATTATTACTGACCATACGTATACATCCTGTTTACCAAAAAAATGTGCAACTGAATCTTGTCATGATAATGTTTGACTTAATATGCCTGTACCTGCTATCGTGGCATCGCAGGCTTGTTTGTAAACCTTATTGCACAAAAAAACAAAAACAAAAAAAAGACAAAATGTAGCTTACCCATATGCTATTAGCAATAAAATTGATAATAGCACAAAATCCTCATGTAGCCAGATATGGCAGCATGAACTCAATTATTAAACCAAATTCAAATGGAGAGAGATATCAGTCTCAATCTTCTAAACTCCAGAAAAAAAATGATATATGGGATCAAATGTTAAAAAGAATAAAAGAAAATTCACAATGCGATTATTTCTGATACTCGACCCTAAAAGTGCTCACCGTATTAATGATTATATTTCAAAGGTTCGCTTATGACCTTCCCTTCCCCGGCAGAAAAAAATAAAATATAATTTAATTGTACCCTTGTCTAAATGTTTGTTCTGTAAGTCATATGGAATATGTTCTATATTATAACTAAAAATGTAATAAAGAATATGAAAACGGAAAAAAAAAAAAATTATTAGGATATTGATATGTTATACGGCACTACGTCAGCCCTGTGGTAGGTAGATGTGCAACACTGGTGTAGGAAGGTGCATTCTGTTAAGAAACACCAAGACTATAGATGGAATGGAGTGGAAGTGTCTAGCTGGGAGTGAGTGGAAGCCCAAGGGCAAATACAAAAGCTGAAAGGAAACAAAAAGGAAATATATTTAACAGATATGACGCAGGGGCATATCCATAGTCAAAGTTGTGAGGAGAATATGTTTATAGTATGGTCACGTATGGTCTAAAGGTCAAGGTGGGATGTAACGTTCTGTAACCTAAAGGACAAGCTCTTGGTTAAGCCTCTGATGAACAGGTACAGAAAGGGCAGGAAGCTGGACCAGAAAAACAGTAAGGAAACAAAGGTAGTTTGTTTTATGTCTGCAGCTACTGAAATGTGGGGTAAACCTGGGCTTGGGAGCAGGTGTTATGTAGTAAACTGTTGCCTCACAAGGTAATGGAGGACAGGTTACCCAGGTGTCATTGTGAGATTCTGGGTGCACTTTCATCACATATTTTGCTCCTGCTTTGTTGCTGCAGAAGCCCACACCTAAAACAGAGCTGGCACAAAGTATTGTGCACACCTCTGAATGGCAGTACCTTGAATGACAAGTAAGCAGCCACACTGTGCCATTTGTTCCTGAAATACAAACAAGCATGCAT